TCAGTGGATAGAGCGTCGGCCTGCGGACTAAAGGGTCCCAGGTTCGATTCCGGTCAAGGGCATGTACCTTGGTTGTAGGCACATCCCCAGTAGATGTGCAGGAGGCAGCTGATCGATGTTTCTCTCTCATCGATGTTTCTAACTCTCTCTCTCCCTTCCTCTCTGTAAAAAAAATAATAAAATATATATTTAAAAAAAGAAAAAAAATGGTTAAGATGGTAAATTTGATAGTTACGTATCTTTACCACAAAAAAAAAAACAACACATTTCTTATAAAGTTACTAGAGGCCCAATGCACAAAATCTGTGCAAGGGGCTCGGCCCTCGCAGCCCCGGCTTCGTCTGGAAGGTCGTTCCAGTCATCTGGATGGTCGTTCCACTGTTCGGCCATCCAGTCTAATTAGCATATTATGCTTTTATTATTATAGATGGTAGTGGAGGGTGCAGATAGCTGAGTGTTCTGACAGAATACTACTCCCCTTTCTTTAATTTGTTAAGCAGTGAGAAGACTTCTTTTGCTGATAGGGAGGAAAATTAAAGACAGCAACACCATTCCAAAGACCTTCCTATATGTTATATTAATGGGCAAGGACATAAAGAATTTAGAATCCCTAAAATGCAACAACTGCTATTTCATTCCAATTTATGTTAGTCTAATCAGGCTTTACCAGTTCAGTCATGTCAGTGTGGGAAAAAAAAAAATCAAACAAATCGAATACTTAAGTCATGTAAATGTGACTACTTGGTGTATACAGATAGATATTATGGTCTACTAATAACTGTATTTTGTGTTCTTTGTGCTAGTGCAATAAAATGCTTTTCAAAAAATGCTTTGAAAATATTATTCATGGACTAACCATAACATGCAAGAAAAATAACATTATATGATCAATTCACAAAAACAATAGAACAAAATTATTAAAAAGCAAGAATTTTACTAGACCTACCCTCTTCCTTTGTCTGTGAAAGATTCTATAACTGTTCCTTCCACTGGACCTGTGGGGTCTGCTTTCAATTCTAATATTTCTGCAAGAGTAATTGTTGCCTCTGCCAAAGCCATCAGGTTATCCCCCTTAACAACAAAACGAGTTAATATACATTAATATCATCTGTAAATGTAAATACTAGGGTCAGAAAGCCAAATAATCCTTGACAATTATATTTTTCTCTTTAAGCATTAAAAGCATAATTATGCAATTGTAAGGAAGGAAGGGAGGAAGGGAGAGAGAGATAAACAAGAAAACCTGATCCAGGGACAGATATTGCAAAGAACAGTGGCTATTTTTTTTTTTAAGGCCATTAGAGGTGCTTGTTAATACCCTTTCATAAACACATACTTCATTCTCTCTTTCTCTCCTCCATCTATCTCTATAACTGTGATTTCTTCCTCTAACCCTCTTTACAATGATACTTCATATTGAAGTTCTATTCAATGTGACAAACTTTCGCATCTATTTTTTCATTTGATCCATTGTAACTACCCAACTGTGCAAAAATAAAAATTCACTTCACCTCCCTGGATCTTCTTTCCTCAAATGAAGGACTAGATTACATGATTCTTCCACCTTTCATGACCTATCTTTACTATGCTTTCTAGAGTTTAAAGATCACGCAGCTGATAACTGGTGATGGAACTGGAACTGATGGGTAAGGGATTTTTCATTCTCCCTGTCAGCTAAGAGATTGCTCGCAGTTGTTAGAGAGTATAAAACAACAGAGACAACTGTAAACAAAATACTTTGCGTACCCCTCTACTTATTCCTAGTATTTATTCTAATTTATAAAATGCTGCTCTGAAAAACAATGCTGGGGTTGTTTCTTTGCATAACGTAGACCTCTATATCAGCCTTGAGAAAGGAGGCCCCATCTTACTTCCCTGTCCCTCTCTCCTACCTCCCTCCATTCCCCAAGAATCATCTCTGCCATGTCCTCAGATTTGCCTAAGCAGCTTTACATCTATCTATTCATCTGAAGGTATTTGGACAGAAAAGGCAGCCATGTCTTCAAATGCTTTAATCTTACTATATGACTTTCAGAGTGCAATAGCAATCCAGGTATAGTGGAAAGATAACAAAGTAAGGTGGCATTTTATGAGTGTCAATAGCATGGTTATACTATTAAAGAAGGCATAATTTCTAAGCATCTTGGAAGTAACAGAATTAGGAAAAATAAAGATAAAATGAGATTTAATTGAAAAATTGTGGCCAAATACAGCACCATCCCTCAATGAATGATCAGGGGGGAAAAGTCTGTACTATGAGTAAATGATGGAATATGATAAAAAATGGAAATTGTTACTTAGCAGCAAACTGCACAGGATAAAAGTATTAAAAATGCTGTCACAAAGCAGGTACTGAGTTTCCTTGGTGTTTTTCAAACAGAAAAGAATAACTGGTAATTTAAAAGAAAACAGAATTCATCATAAATAACATTATAAAACTTATAACAATTTAATTCCCCAAAAAACTGAGTCAATCACTTACAAACTGAACCCAAATGTTTCCTCTTTGTATTAGTGACAATTTTTTATTTGTTTAAATCTTTCTTAAGTGCCCTAAGACCTTGATAGTTTTTCACTATAAAAGCAAGCACTTTTTATTAACAACTGTATTTCATTTTTGCTTAAAACAGTCTTTAGCCAACTCATACCCTACCCACATCATTCACTATTTATTCTTCTCATTCTAAGTATTTCATAATAAGAAAAGCATTAGGTTTAGACTCCATTATCATCAGCTATGTAACCCTGGATTGGTGACTGACCTTTTTAGCCTAATTTCTAATCTTCCAAACCAGGAAGATACCAGTTTTGCCTAGTACCCAGAGAATTCTGAAACAACAACAGAAATTATATATGTCAAAATGCTCTTCAGGCATAATGCACTATAAGCATTCCCATCTGAACACATCATCTATGCGTTTACCGTAAGTGCAGAGACATGCACTGCCTGTACATCACCTCCGTAATCTTCACACACAACATCATAAGCTAGCAGTTCTTTCTTCACTTTTTCAGGATCAGCCTCAGCTTTGTCACATTTGTTTATGGCAAGGACAATAGGCACTGAAAGAGACAAAGTTAAGAAGAGTGCAAATGGCACCTTTAATCCCAGGTGTTCACAATGAAGACACCAACCTGTTCTGGCTTTCTCTTTACTCAGTGGATGTACTTATCTAACAAAAGACCTAAAAAGACCCACTCTTTAGACCCACTGTACTCTACTTTCTACACACAAAGGATTGTAGCTGTGAGATGTCAAACTGCAATTATAAGCAGATTCTGAATTAAGAATAGATGCTAAGATGATTTAAAACAAAAAGGTATGTTGAGTAGAGAAAGGCCTATCCTTAAACCTGAAAGCAAGATCAGCAATTATACGGGAGATAATCTCCAGAAAAAGATCAAGAGAAGATTCTAACTGAATTCGGGCGTCATTAGATGATTTGCCTATTCTTTCTAGGAGCTACTGACTCATTGTTAAAACCTAACATTTTGCCGAACCGGTTTGGCTCAGTGGATAGAGCATCGGCCTGCGGACAAAAAAAAGACCGTACCCTTTTATGTAATGATGTTTACTTTGAATTTATATTAGTTCACACAAACACTCCATCCATGCTTTTGTTCCGGCCCTCCGGTCCAGTTTAAGAACCCAGTGTGGCCCTCGAGTCAAAAAGTTTGCCCACCCCTGTTCTAGGAGCTACTGACTCATTGTTAAAACCTAACATTTTACCCTGGGGTGAAATTAGGAATCATTACCGTGAACTTACCTTTGGATTTACAGCAACTCTTTATTCATACATTTAGCTTGGTGATACATAGTAGATTCTCAATAAATGTTTACTTAATGAATGGACCAACCAATCTTATAATCTACCTGTTATTACTAAACATACCCTCTCATTAGAGAAATCACACAAAATTCTAGCAGGTAATTCTCTTGTTGGGTTTCACCAACTGTAATTTTCTCAGGTATCAAAGGAACATAAATTGAAAACAAACACACAAGAAAGCTCTGCGCCCTGGCTGGGTGGCTCAGGTGGTTGGAGCGTCATCCTGTGTACATACCCCAGTTGCAGGTTCAATCCTCAGTTGAGGTGCATATGGGAGGCAACCAATTGATGTTTTCTGTCATATAAATCGTCTCTCTCTCTCTCTCCCCCTTCCCCTCCTACTAAAATAAATAAATACATACATACACACATACATAAATACATCCATAAATCAATCAATCAATCAATAAATAAAATAAACAAATCCTCTGGTGAGGATTAAAAACAAAACAAACTATGCAATCCATAACCTACTACTGTGAAAAAGTACATGCCATATAGATAAGACCAAAAGAACAGGTATAGAAAGCATGATGTAAAAAATATATCAGTGTGGCTCAGTGGTTTAGTGTTGACCTATGAACCAGGAGGTCATGGTTTGATTCTTGGTCAGGGTACATGCATGGGTTGCGGGCTAGATCCCCAGAGTGGGGGGTGCAGGAGGCAGCTGACCAATGATTCTCTCTCATCATTGATTCTATCTCTCTATCCCTCTCCCTTCTTCTCCGAAATCAATACAAATATATTTTTAAAAAATATCATGTATCTTAACCAACTGCTCTGTTATGGGATCCCTGGCAAATTTATCACTCTCTTCTTTTTATTATATTCCCTAAAATCATTAAGAACAGAATCCATTCCACAAAGGCAATTTTGAGAAATTAAAAAGGAAAGAGAGTAACACTGAAAGCTAGAAGATCAGATGCCAAATAAACAGTAGAGAAAGAACTGTACTTGTGATCACAAGTCCCAAATTGAATCCTGCTACACTCTTCTAAGTATTAACGTCTGTGGGAAAATAATTCAACTGTCTTTGAGCCTTATCTGTAAGAACAGCTATAATAACCCTGAGATTGCCATGAAGACTAAATGAGCAACATGGGCACTATCCCAGAACAGTGGCTCTTGCCATAGCACCTTGAGCATCTTTGGCATGCTGAATGGATTCTACCGTTTGTTTCATCACTCCATCATCTGCAGCTACAACCAGTATGATAATGTCGGTGACCTGAGCACCCCTGGCTCTCATCGCTGAGAACGCAGCATGTCCTGGAGTATCGAGAAAGGTTATCTTCTCCCCAGAAGGCAGAGAGACTGTGGAAACAGAAGTCCAAGAACACTAAGAACTCAAACAGGTACTTTCTCAACATGAAGAAATAGATGTGACATTATCAAACACAACTAATTCTTTAAAATAATTTTATTCCTTCCATTAATCTTAATCAGAACAATTGATAATGTACCGGCGAAACCTGTAGGGTTTTCTTTGCATGTAATAATTTCAAACTAAAACTCTTCATCTTTCTAGAATATAACTACTTTCATAAATGTACCAAATAATATCTATTCTGGAGAGAGAATACACTGAGGATTACATAGGTAGCCACCCCTGCATAGCAAACATCAGCTGCACAACTGCCTTGAATAACAAAGGCTATTTCATATATAATCGGTATCTCAGGATTTGAGTCCAAAAGCCTTGTGTTTAAACTCTGGCTTTGCCACTTACTAGCTGTGTAAGTACCTTAACCAAGTACCTTAACTTAAACAAGCCTCAGCCTCCTTACTTGTAAGCAGGAATATTGATACCTACCTAATGATAGTTTTTGAAGATAAAAAAGATAAAGTATATAAGGTGCTCAGCACAGTGCTGGGCACATGCTAGGTGCTCAGTAAACGGTAGCTATTATTTATTGCCACAACCTAGCATTGAAGAATTTAAGCTCATGAACTAAGAATGGGCTAGAATAGAAAGATAATATAATTTTCTTCTTAAAGAATGTACAAAATAAACTTTATTAACCACCTGCTCTACACTTCATCAAACCAATGGCTTTAACCTTTAGCCTTTCCTTTTACTTTGAATTTGTACATTTCATACTATGACACTAGGTTTAAGGAAGAATATATGGAGTTCCCAAGCACATTGTAAGATAATTTGTGTTCATACCAAGAAAGGCACCAATGTGCTGAGTGATGCCTCCAGCTTCCATTGCTGCCACTTGAGTTTTTCGCAGTTTGTCAAGTAACGTCGTTTTCCCATGATCAACATGACCCATTATAGTTACCACTGGGGACCTTGGGGTTAATAAAGCTGGATCTGCCTGGGGCCTACAATTACAGCAAAGGAATTTCATTTCTTAAACATCAGAACAGTTGATAGCCAGTGAACTGATTTGCAGTTATCTATGTGAACTGCCATTAACGATAAAACCTAACATTCAGCATCCCTTAGACCAAAGTATTTTCCTCTTCTATGCATACAACTTACGACAAAATATGTGACTACACACCTACAGTTGACATCTTCATAACAATGAGAAATGAATAAAAAATTTTAAGATTCAGGATCAATATATAAACTTTAAAAAAAACCCTTAAGAGTTTTATAATAACCTGAATATACTGATGCTTTAAGCACTTCAAAGAAAAGTTTAACATCATTTTAATTGCAAAAGAAATTTTAAGGCAACCCTTTCTACTAAAAAGTGTGAGTAAAACTATGTGGTCTCTTTCCCCCAATATATATTGTTACATTTTACCTTCTCACGGCATCTTTATTTTCTCTGACTTTGTCCTGTTTTAATTTGCTCCATTTTAACTTCATTCCTGCCTTCTTTATCACTTCTTTGATCCAGACTTCATCTAAATGTGAGTCTGCTTCTAGTGAATCTATGTCCATAGTAGTGTTCAATAAAGCTTCATAAATAAAAT